GTATTTGCTATCCCAAAATAGCATCAGTTCATCAATAATGTCATATTTTTTGTGTACTTTTTTTTACTTATGAAATTATGGTTTTTGAGATAAAAATTTAGAGACAAAATCAATTTTTAGAAGCGAAAAATTTTTTGTTTACAAAAATGTCTCTATTTTATGTTTAGCAATGAAATAAGATATTTAGTAATGAATTACTAAATAATTTTATTCCAAAAAATACGTTTATTATTGATATTTCTAAAATTTTGTCACTAATAATTATTTTTTTGACTTGTCGATACGATCTTTTAGCAACTATTATTGCAACAACAAGAATTGGTAAATTAAACTACAATTATAATGTCATATATGTAAATTTTATTAAAAAATTTCACTAATCAAAGATGTAGTATAAAATTACACAAGAAAAAACATAGGGGTGGTTTGAGATATCCTAAATAAGTGTACTTTTTGACTTTTTATAAAAAGATGTGTAGAAAAGTAGAGAAAATAAGTTGATTGATGTGACCCAAAAAAATAAAAAGATAAAAAGATAGGCTAAAATAAGTTATGCCAAGCCACCCTATTTTAACAGCATATTTGTTGGGTGTGTATTTTATATGTTTGGGAAGCCAAGGTTTGGCTTTTTTTGGGTTAAAATTCACACAATGACAGAATAAGCTAAAATAGTTAATAAGACAAAATATCATATTAAACTTATAATTATTTCACTTTTTCTCTCACAAATATCACATCCAACTACAAAAAAATTCAATTCTTTTTCCAGGCTGCACAACTCCCAATTCAAATTTTTCCCTACAAATCAATTTTTACAATTTTTTATTACACATTTTTCAATAAAAAGTCAAAAAGTTAACCCAAACATCCATATTTTCAACCTCAATTTTTTAGTCCAAAAAGACAAAAAGTGCACTTTTTTAGTCTTCCCAAACTTGGCCTTAATTAGAGTTTCAAAATTAAAAATTGTATATTGCTCTTACTTGAATAATGCTAATTCTACCTTGTCAAATCAACATCAGGCCGCAATGATGTTGATCATCACTAAACTATTTATTGGAATTTGACAATGTAGGTTGCTAATTCTGCCTTTTTGCATGTTCCGAAAAGGGAAATAATAAATAAATATTACAAAAACACTTACTATATATATATATATATATTTGTGTAGGCCTGGCTTTGGTTCAGTATATTATCGAATTGGACTGTGCTGTTAAGTTTGTGAAGGCTCACCACGGGTCACATTTTGAAAATCTGAACCGTTCAATTTGTAGAACTTGTCGAGTATTATATGCTTGTGAAAAATTACATTGATCGGATATCGATAGTTATGTGATCAAAATAGTTTTTTATCAACCGTTAATTTATTCAGCGTTCATTTTTTTTTATATAAAACTGATTTGATCACATAACTATCGATATCCAATCAACGTGATTTTTCACAAGCATATAATACTCAACGATTTCTACATATTAAACTGTTCAGATTTTCAAAACGGGACCCGTGGTGAGCCCCCACGAGTCCAACAGCATGGTCTACTCCGATGGCGAACTGGACCAAAGCCAGACCAATTTGTGTATGTGTGTGAAAATAGATTTTGGGATTGTTTGGTAAATGAGTTGGGTTAAATAATCACAAAATGATAAAAAGAGTCAAAATCACAAAGAATCAAAATTTACAGAAGGACAAAAAATATCCACCATTTCAAAGTTAAAAAGTCAAAAAAGTCAATTAAGAATACCAAACGAACAAAAAAGTCCTAGGTTAAAAAAGTAAAAAAACTAACTAAAAAAGTCATTGTCAAACAAATGCTTTGAAAATTATTTTTTGGCATTTTTGAAAAAAAAAAAAAACTTTTTAACCAAAAAAATTTTAAAAATGACTTTTTTAAGAAGTTCATTTCCTTAAAAAATAAAAATAAAAATATAATCAAAGATGCCAAGGAGACATTATTGGAGTGACAGTTATACTTTATCATATCAATATGAAATAATTGAACTTGATCATCACTTTATCATATCAACTAAAATTTACAGTTTTACAATTTATGTAGTGGTTACACTATTTTTTTTTTCTTGCTTTTGCATTTTCAAAAATAAAAACGATACCTAAAAAGAAAAAATTTAAAAATTATCAATTTCATATTATATTAATTTTTGTAGAAAAATAAAATTTTAAGTTTTCTTCAAAAATAATTTTTTCCAAAAATAACTTTTCTAAACATTCCATCAAACAAATTTCAATATTTTAAAAATATATATTTATAGACAACAATGCTAGAGACCTTTAAAAACACACCCCTAAACACACCTCTAATGAGGTAGAAAAGGAGAAAAAAAAAAAAATCAAGACACATGATTGACAGTGGTAATGCGTAGAACCCACTGCCACATTATTAGTGGTACCTCTAAATTAAAGATCCCAGGTATTTTTCATTTATAAAACAATGTTACATCTAGACATGCTATATGACACTTTATAGGCCATTGTTTGAGACGGGCCAATTCTACAATGTCATATCGACATGAAAACACTAATAGTGATCATTACTACGAGTCAAAATTCCTCTCTGAGTTGGACAATCTAACTACAAGATTCTTCCATTTGATAGTATTTGATCCAACTCAATTTTAATATAAAAAGTGTGGTTTTAGTAGCGTAAGATCAAGTATAGGGATAGGTAAGTTAAAATTATTTAGAATAAAGTATAAAATTATAAATTAATTGAGTTTAAAATTGAGAAAATCACACATGAAATCTGAAAATATTCAATTTGTTGGCATCCTTTTTGTCTCTAATTGGAAGACTAAACTTGGACATGTACTCCTAGCAACGAATGCATTTAAAAATTTATCCACTTATAAATAAAGTTGTAAACAAATTGAGTTAAGTCGAGTGATAACTTATTCAGACTTGACTTGTAAATTAAACGAGTTTCAAAGCATGTTCAAATTTGACTAGTTTACATAAAAATCCAATCCAAAATGAGTTTTTAACGAATCAAACACTAACAATTTGGTTTCTATATAGTACATATTTGTTTATTGAGCTGAATATTCTTTATGCTTGACTTGAAAATTTAGTAAGTTTTAAAATGTGCTTAGACTTGATTTACTTACATAATGAGTCAATTTCAAATAAATTTTTAATGAATCTAACACAAGTCAAGTTCAAGTATCTCATTTTAAATAATTTTGATATAATATTTAATGGTAGACAAAATGTAAATTTTTTATTTACAAAAAGTGCCAAAGTGGCACAGCCAGGAAACCGAAATGTTCCAATCAATCCATAGCCAGACTAAAGAGAAGCCATTTTCTTAATCAAACTCTGCAAATGAGAAAACATTTTGGCAGCACTGTTTGTAGTGAATATGCAAACAAACAATCAAATGAAAGTCCATCAAACAAGCCACAAGTCTATATAAGTAGGTATTCTCATGTATTTTTAAGCATTTGGTAAGTTTAAAAATAGAATGGAGATAGAGAGACTTACAGTAAAGATTATTTGTGTAAAAAATTAAATTTATCAGAATCGATGAATAGATGAATAAATTATATTTTGTTTTATAAAATGCTCTGTTTAAGTTTAAATTCATAATTGTCATCCATTTAAAAATAAAATATAATTTGTGTTCTTACGATGCCTAATAAAACAAATTTTTAGCAGAACTCATATTTACTAGACCTATGTTATGAACAGTTTAGATTATCATTGTGGGCATAGGGCGTACGAATTCAGGGCCTCGTTTGGGAACAGGCTAATTCAGTAATTTTTTGGCTATTTGGCTAAAATATAAGCTAAAAAAAACTAGTATGTTTGGGATGACTTTTTGGTTTTTTACGAAAATATGTGCAAAAAGTAGAGAGAAAAAAGAATCTTTGACTTTTTGGCTAATTTAATAACTTTTTGACTTTTTGACTAAAAAGGAGGGTTCCAAAAGTTAACTTCTAATTTTATAAAAATTACTTTAGCAACTCTCTATTTTATTAGTATTTCATAATATATAATGAGATGATTTCTAATAGTTTCTCAAGTGAGTTAATAGTATTAATTTTATTAAATCAATTTTATATACACAACAGAGTATAAATTAAATTTTTTATTTTAAAAAAATCAAAGAGGTATATATATTTTTTATTTACTAGATTATGTCTGATCTAATAGTTCTAATTGCTAATTCAAAATTTTAGAAAAGAATAATAAAAATGACTTTACAGATTTATTTATTTTTTCATTAAACACTTCATTCAGAAACCTCTTATATATATTTAAAAAAAAAAAATGATCTTCAGTTTATCTTCGATTGTGTTTTTTGTTTCCAGCTTTCATTTCTCAGAAAACACAGAATTATTCCAACATGATTGGGCAAAGGTAGTCGAACAATTGCAGCAAACCTAACCATGTGAAGCAGTAGTAGAAAATGATACTGTCAAAATAATACCACCCATCCATTGTCGTCCCCACGGAGCACAAAAATTGTACACCCATAAAACCTCTAAAATGATTCCAACATTCAAATCCATCAAATCAACACTATATGGCTTAATTTAAGTGGACTTTGTACATCATCAACTAGCCATTTCTTTCATCTTACAGTACCTTTATTTGTTGGCAAAAACCAAAATGTGCACTATGGAGCAAAAAGTTACGTTTTTGGACATTATCTAAAAACGTAAATGCTAAAAACGTCAGAAAATTGGTTTGACAAGTGCTAAAAACGCAGGTGTAAAATTATAAATTAGGGTCTATGAAAAAAAATAAAAAAAAATTATGTTCGGTAAGAGTATTTTGGTTATTTTAATTTGATTTGACACCATAAATAAATATTAAATTAAAAAGTAAAAAGTCAACTTTTTATTAACTTCTCAAATTACTTTTCAACAAGTTAAAAAATTTAGTAAAAAGTCAAAAGCTAACTTTTTACCATATTCTCAAAACAATAGCCTAGTCTCTCTGTCTCTCTCCAGCATGAATACTCATTCGAGATATGGATACAATATAATACAAATACAGCGCGACTACCTTTTATAAGTATCTGTGCTTGCCTAAAAAAAAACGTGTTTCAGCTCCAAACTCAGCTTGTGTTGCTTATGTTCAAACAAAAAATCATTTGACATCCAGAGAAGCCCATTGAAACATAGAAACCAAATCCTGCAAGAATGCAAAAACAACAGGCAATGGAAGATGTCAAGGTCACCGGAGATCATGATGATAATCATCAAAATTCTGAGCCAATCAGGGACACTTACAAAATCGCGTACCTAATCCATTTCGTGCTCGGTGCTGGCAATTTGCTTCCATGGAATGCTTTGATCACTGCTGTCGATTACTTTGGCAGTCTCTATCCGTCCAGGCATGTTGAGAAGGTCTTCTCTGTCGCCTACATGAGTTCTTCTCTGTTGGTTCTCGTTTTGATGATGAGTTGGGTGTGTTGGAGTAAAAAACTGAGCTTTAGGTTGAGGATGAACTTGGGTTTTTCCATGTTTGTTCTGTCTATAATGGTAACTCCAACACTTGATTGGGCTTCGTATAGCAGTGGATCGAAAGGGAGTTCAAATGGAGCCTATGTTGTAACCGTTGGATCGGTTGTTGTTTGCGGTTTAGCTGATGGATTGATTGGAGGAAGCCTTATAGGATCTGCTGGAAGGCTGCCAAAGGAGTATACGCAAGCAGTTTTTGCTGGAACAGCTTCTTCAGGTATATCATATCATGCCATTATGTAAAATTCAACTCTCTCTTTTTTTTCTTCGTTTCTTCATCTAGCAAAAGCATGAGATGTAGAAAATTTGGTAAATATGATGAAATATAACACCTGAAGCCTTCAAAGGGCCAAAACATCAAATTTGGAGAAGAATATCTTATAGTGGTATACAAAAAAATTTTACCCTTAGCATAGAAGGGTAGGAGTCAAGGTGTAAGCAGTTTAGTTGGGATGGAGTTGGAGAAAAAATTTAGCATGGAACCAAACTCCATGATCTTGTTTGTTGAGAAACCGAAACTAATTGCATATTACCGTTCGATTTTGTTTATTTTTAGTTTAATATAAAGGTGAGATTCACATGAGTGTATAAGGAGTTTTATGAAACCCTATAAAATCTCACATATTGAATAAATGAAAACAAAAGGAGTAGGTTGCTTTAAAAATATGCCTCCCTCTTAAATCTTTCTTACAAAATGTATATTATTGGATAATGTGCAAAAAATTAAAGTATAAAAAGTATTTAAATATTATATGTCGGTTAATATTGTGTATCGATTTTAAAAATTTTAATGACCATGCATTATAAAAAATAGACTAAGGTTAAATTTGATAACTTAAAAATAATTCATCTTTTATTTTTTTATTTTTTTTATCATATCATCTTTTTATTTTTCTACATATCTTTTCATAAAAAAATAAAAAATACACTTATTTAAATCATGCGAAACAATTCCTAAATATCAAAATTTAGCAGCAGTCATTTTTATTTTATCAGTTTTTCTTACAGCCCTAGGTAGGAAGGGTCGACCAATGTGTGGAAACGTCACAGGCGTGGTCCTGGCAGCCCCTATTGGTAGCTACAAAGGAGGAGAGGGGGCTAGACTAGAACGGGTATGTTAACGCAGAATTGGAGATGTTGCTGTGACCATTGTCACAGTAGTGTCCCATAGTTCTTTTTGGGGATTTTCTCAAGTCTTTTAATGGTTTGGATCGTTATTTTGTAAAATTTATTAAATATATTATTTTTGTAAAAAATTAAGGTAATTGAAAGTCTATAATCCTATGATCTAATTCTAATTGTTTAAAAAAATTATTAAAATCATGTTAATCATTTATTAAAAAAATAAATGTACTCTTGTCACCAAATTATAAATATCAAATCAATTTGATTGTTTAGATAAATGATTTACTTAATAAATCATATAATATCAAAAGTTTAAATTATCAAAAAAAAAATTCAAAAAAATCCCTCGTCGGTACACCACAGGATCCCCTGCTCCATGTTAACGCTGGGATGCGCAGCATACAATTTGTTCATATTTCCAAGGCTTCCTAGGAAAGCTAGGCAACTGCTCACTTTTGGAAAAGTCATAAACGTACATGCTCCTTAGGAATAATATTAACAATTAAGACTTTTTTTAAGTGTGTAACTTACACCTTACACTTACGTCTTTCTTTTTGCTGTCTTATTTTATGTTTACACCTTCCATTTACACCTTTTGTGTTGGTTGCACATGGTGTGCAACCTTAAGGGGTTGCACACCATAACAGTACCCTAAAAATTATGAAAAAAATATTAAGAAATGTGTGACAAAAATTTTTAATTTTTTAATTAGTGTGTGATGTTTTATTGTATGTATAATTTAAAGATAAAGAATCTTTCATGATTATTTTTAGGATATTTTTTTTTATGATTTTTAGTATTACTCACTCAATGTTTGCTAGGCTAAATTTCCTCAAATTGACATTTTCAGACGAAAAATGCTATAGGTCACAATTTTTTTACTAAATAAATGACTAAATATCTGTAGAGTCCACAAAATTACAGACCCACATCTATATGAGATATTTGATAATTTATTTAATAAAAAATTTAATATTCTTAACATTAGCTAAGCTTACACCTTGCATTCTTTTTCAATCAAATAGAAAAGATCTCTGTACTAGTCACTAGTTATGTTAAATTTAGACTATTTGAGCCTCCATGATACGACAGCCTTGGCATAAAACTCCATCTCTATTGACTTGACACACTTTGAGCTTTAAATTTGACACAAAAGACTAGTACCAGCAATAACAGTGTGCTTGGAACCCTATAGTTCAAACGGTCAATTTAATTGATTCGATTGACTCAATAGTTTTTCCTAGAATCTACTACTAGTCTAAAAGCCAGAAAACATAGGGAAAACGAATATAGTCAATTATGGAAATAGCAATATCTACAAATACACAAAGAAAGTGATGAACAACAAAATGCACCATCTCTCTTTCTCACAAGTCAACTGAACCCCAATCCCGGTATATCAACCAATCAATGGATAGCAGTTTGAGCCATGGCATTATCTTCATGAACTTCTAGACCTATAAATGAAGCAGTGCTCAAATTAGTGACAAAAATAATCATTAGAAATGATATAAATGGATACTCACCTTTTCAAGTTGGTTCCACCCAGATCCCTCATCCATATATAACAAATTATTTATACCAATTTTGAATATTTTAAGCTGATGCATTCTGCACAAGTAAATCCTTATACCAATTTTCTTGCTTGAACTAAAAATTATTTGACCAAAATGGTTGTGTTCTAATGTTGTTGTTGTTGTTTTTTTTTTTTTTTGGTTTTTCCCCCCACTACCACATAAAAAATGCTTGACGAATAGCTAACAGCAATAACAACAGTCTTCCTATAGTTCAAACACTAATCCAAGTATGTCTTATTAACAACTTGAGATTTAGCAATGATATGAAAATCCAAACAGAACAATGAAAAGTGCTTGGATTAGTGACAAAGCATAATCATATGACCATTTTACCTGATTATATTGTTTTGTAACAGGTGTTCTTGTGTCCATCTTGAGGATTATAACAAAGGCATCACTTCCACAGACAGCACAGGGCCTACGAAAAAGCGCTCACTTGTATTTTATAGTCAGCACAGTTATTTTGCTTGGCTGCATTGTTTGTTGCAATCTGTTATACAAGTTGCCAGTCATGCAACAGTATTACAAACTTCTACGGGATGACCTGCCGAGTTCAAAGCCAGAATTTTGGGAAGTGGCGAGAAAAATCCGATGGCCTTCTTTTGGAGTTTTCATGATTTACACTGTAACTCTGTCTATCTTTCCCGGATTCATAGCAGAGAACCTTGAATCGAGGATTCTTAAAGATTGGTACCCTGTTATGCTGATTACAATGTATAATATTTCAGATCTTATAGGGAAGTCTTTGACTGCAACATATGTCGTGAGGAGTATTGGGAAGGCTACATGGGCTTGCATTGCCAGGCTTTTGTTCTATCCCCTCTTCACGGTCTGCCTCCATGGTCCCAATTGGCTGAAAACGGAGGTACCAATGGCATTTCTGACGATTACACTTGGGTTGACAAATGGGTATTTGACAAGTGTGATCATGATCCTCACTCCTAAATCAGTGCCAGCTTCAGAAGCTGAAGTATCTGCAGTTGTGATGGCTGTGTTCTTGGGGATGGGCTTAGTTGCTGGTTCGGTTCTTGGTTGGTTTTGGATCATTTGAACCTCATTAACCTCTTATGTCATATGCATAACCAGCCTCAGAAGAGGTCAGTCTCCTATAAATCAGAACCCATAACCTGTCAAGGTAAAGCAGATGGAAGAGAAACATATAAAGAAAATGAGTCCAGTAGTATAAATCTTTGTAATGTTAAATAAGGGCCTAGTCTGAATTTTCTTATATGCTATCTCCTTGATGATGCAAGTTTATTCTACCGTCAATCTAAAGAATGATGAAATTGCCAGTTTCAATCACAATTTAATCCATCACAAAAATTACAAAAAATGAAAATGAAAATGAAAATAAATATAGTAACTTTGCTACCTTGGCATATGTTCTGTTTGAATAATGAAAGTGAAAGACCAGAGGGAAAATTTTGAAACCTTTGTAACAAACTGTTCTGTTACTCATGATAATTGTGACAATTTGAATTTTTTTCTTTTCTGTCAACTTGATGGCAAACAAATGGAGAACGATGGGGCAAAAAGAAGTGCACAAGAAACCTAGTTGAATATTGAACCAAGAATCAAGTTTATTAGGGCACAACCTAAGCTGGAAAGAAGTATGCAATTACAAAACCAAGAACTCAATGTAATGATTGAGAAAACATAAATGGAAACTCCAAATAACACTAGGAATGAATTCAACTGCAAAACACTGCATATACATTATGAGTCTTGGACTAGAAAACTGCATTGCCGAAAAGTCTACATCATTAGGCCAATAAATGGTGTGGATAACATACTCTCCTCTCTGATTGGTCTTAAAAAATTTGCAAAAAATTGGAAACCCTTCTGAAAGGAGCTTGGAGGCTCCCATACAAAATAGGAACCTTCAGGCATTCGAACAATTGAACCCATGGATGGTCTTAGGTGCACTTCCCTCTATATATACCACCAAGTAACTTATATTACTTTGTCAATCCTCTTGTGTATCAGGTATTTTGTGAACCCTATTAAGCTTTGAAACAAGAATTTCTTACATCTTTCCTTCTTCCATCATCTTGAGGTAATAAGAGGGGAAATCGGCTTATTTTTTTCAATCCTTTTGTTGCATCAAGCATTTTGTGAACCCTCTTAAGATTTGAATCAAGAATTTCTTGCATCTTTCCTTCTTCCATCATCTTGAGGGCATAAGAGGGGAAATTGGCTTTCTCTGAACTCCCCTGTTGGGTTAAATTTCATCTTTCCCCATACAAAATTTTCAAGAAAAATCATACTGAAGCTTTATATACAAATTTTCAAGCAAAATTTGAAGCTTTATACATCACTTTTCTTTGATATCATGTAAATTGTGATCTATTCATGTGCCAAGTACCCTCGCTTACCACTTAATCTATGATAATTGACTTTGTTGTTGACAAATTGTGTTCTTCTAGTCTTCAAAATATAGCGATCAACTTCGGTGTCATTGAGAACTTATACAGAAATGATTGCTTCAAGTTGTGTTACTACGTCACTTTCAACGAATTTGGCTCTAGGATACAATAAAACTCGATATCAAGACCAATCATGAAGCATGATATAATAATAATCAATCTACCAACATCTTGCACTCAGAATTCTCTTGATATGATCAATAGAACCAACATCACATTGATTATCAGAGAAAAAGCATTAACATGCATCCATGCAAATTGCTCTATTAAAGCACCACACAACCCACTGCCCATGCCACGTGTGCATCAACAAATGGTTCCCTCATACAGTATGAGTGCATGTACACTAGCATTCATACCGCAATTCCATATTCAAAGAAATATTTCATGTTGCTCTTTATTGAGAGCTACATTTTTTCATCTCTTTCTAATGTGGAACAACTTCCCAAGCTTGTTTCAAGGCTTTCATATAAAACGAAGAAGCTTTTGAAAATACCCATAAAACTTTAAACATTATTTTTGAAAATTCCCCAACATTTGTTCCCTTACAATAAGCTTAGTCAAACCAAAATCTAAAACCATAGCTTTTTAATCACAATTTGTGATCTTCACACTGCAGCACTTATGGAGATGAGCCACTTTGCCACACCAATAATTATATTAAATTTGTTTTCATAGTCCAAAGTTAATCCTTTCCATTGTTCCAGAAGATCCTTGATCTAAAGACCCATTTGTCATGTGCTTATAACCTAGAAACTAATGAGTTGAGTGCTCTCTATACAGAAGCCCTTTGAGCTTGACCAAGTGGATATGATGGATGGTATTTATAGTACAGACTTCTGCTTGAAATTCTTTCTTTCCCTGATCAATGCCATCCAGTTTCCTCATGGAAATTTGAGTGTCATCTAGAAGGAATACATTTGAAAACTAAACAAAACCACCCTGACAAAGTTTCACATAGAAGTTGTTCATGGCAGTTTGAAAATCCTTGTAACGAAATAGGAATAGGAACAGGAGAAGTCTTTTAAGAAACATCAACTTCCATGGCATTTTGGCAAGATAAATCATCAACTTTAAGCGTACCGAATCGTGCACTGGATGAAGTGGATCGGAGCTCCATAGTTGGAATGGACTATCCAGGAATTGCAGATCTACAAAACAATGCACCATAAGAGCTGCCTGGTCGGGGTTGGCCGAAAAACCCCTCCGATGTGAGAATGAGTGATCGGAGAAAATGGAGGGCTCTCTCTACATGGAGAGAGAGAGAGAGAGAGAGAGAGTGTGCGTGTGTGTATGTGTGTTTGTGTGTGTGTGTGTTTGAGTTTACTTGAGTTAAGATCCATTACCTTCAATGTGAAGAGAGTGTTGCTTATATAGAATACTTTACTTGTTGCCCAAGATGGTTTCATGGAGTTTGGGTGCCTCAAGGCTTCATTTAGCATTGCTCAAGGTGGAGGACCACAAGGTAGTTGACCATGGAGACATGTGCTCATTGTAACCATGCATATAACAAATCACATTCCCTTTGTTAACTGTTTCTGTGATTCTAGGAAGGAAAGACCAGTTGAGGTGGCGCTACATATGTATGCATTCACAACTTCCATGTTTCTTGGTGAAGTTCCCTCAGCTCGATTCCAATTGTGCCTCAGCTTGACCTTCCATAAAATTGTTTGTAGAGATGGACTGGCCCATCTGGACAACTTTATGTGGGCTCAACCCACTTTGGTTCTAATTATGGGCTCTGTCAATCAGTTCAATCTATGAATTAGGTCCAGCAGTTCGGCCTAGCCTTTCCCCTATATACCGAGCCCAAGTGCTTGAGGACGTAGGAGGATCACTCTTTTATGTAGATGGGCTCAACAGATTGGGCCATGTATTTATCTGGCCCATTCGAGTTTGGGTTTAGTGATTTGGACCAGCCCAAGGCTTGGATCTGACTCGTTTATATTTTGTCCTTTCATTTGCCCTTAGCTCGTGCTAAGGTTCCCCTTGGTGGGTGTTACTGATCGGTGCCGAATTCGTCACATCATTTCAACTTCACCTCAGTTCGGTCTTGGTGGCGGTTCAAACCCTGACATATGCACTTTACATGCATCCTTTTACAGTGACACGTGGCGGTGTTGTCGTGAACCAAACCCGTCCCTAATGTTTAGATCATAACCGGCCAGTAATCACTTGATTACCTATTGCCTCATACAGATTACAAAATATTTTTAATGATGGGGCCTAAGCAAAAGCAATTAACATAATTATGATGTCCATTGAGTAATGCCTAAATGATCAAGTTATGTCATACCTATGTACATATTATGACTTACAAACACAACTTATGTACAATGAAACCTTCATCATTTAATTACAAGTTCACAAAACCATCTTAACAAAAAGAAACAAACAAAAGGCTTAACAAAGACTTAGCACCAACATATTAGCAAAACACCATCAAGTAGGCTTGACAAGACAGGTTCACAAAAGCAGATCCTGGGGCTGACCCTAAGGTTGATCTCCCTGTTGTTCACCTACATACATATAACATAAGAAGTAAGCGAAGCTCAATGAATAATAGTAAAGTTGAGAGATATAAATGAATGGCTTTGTATTTAAAAAAAGCAAGTTAATGTAATACAACACTTTTCAAGTTGAAGCATTCATGTCATTACCCATTTCACATTTACAGAATTACCTCAAGACCACAGCTAGCAGAACGGCCATAGGCCTAACATAGAACAAAATGGTCTCAAGCCCACATGGAAAAAAATGACCTCAAGCCCACATATAATAAAACGGATTCAGGCCCACATCTAACAGAACGGCCTTAGGCCCACATATAATAGAATGACCTTGGGCCTACATATAACAGATTTCAATTCAAATTCATAAAGTTCAATCATGCTATATTCAATACAACTTCCAGAACATATAGCAATCATAAATTCCAGAATAATGAGAATTTATTTTACAATACTATTACTCACAGTGATTTTGGCCACGTGATGATCCTTCTTGCAAGCAACTTACACAACATGGCACACATACAATTTTTGTAAACAATTCGTTCACATTTCTTTTAATTTAACCACACATGTGTCAATGAGTTTCTATTTATCTTTTTTCGGAGGGTCTAAACATAGTTAAAAATACGTTCAGAAGATCAAGGAGGTTAACAGAAATTGACGGATTTCTCCCTTGGTTTCCGTTCGTGCAGAAGCCCCTCACCGCACGTGCAGCCCGCACGTGCAACAAAAGCAGAATGCTCGGCTTTGTTTCATTCTGGTTTCCGCATGTATGGAGCTCACAACCGCATCCGCACGTGCGGTTTTGTGTTCATCTATGCAGTCTAAAAATTGGTCCAACTTCAACCTTCCAAACTCATTTTCAAGCCTCAATTCATGTAAACCCATTTCAAAAACATGATAAATATACATAATTAAAGTGTAAGTCAAGTTCCATTAGATTAAACCTTGCTTAAATCCCAAAATCTTAACCCTAGCTTCCATGATTTCATGAGTTTCTTCATTTCCTTTCAAATTCAATTAGATCTTCACTTTGTATGCAACTCTTTGAGTTCAAATCACATAAATTTAAGGATTAAGGCCCAACTTCTCACAATCAAACTCAAAGCAAGCAAATATAAAGAAATTGATTCTTAAATCAAGCAAATCCAAATAATCCAATTTCAATTTCATGAATATAGTTCACTTAAGCTTATGATTCAAAACCCTAACTCATTTGAGTATGTAATCTCCATTTTAATTCTTGATTTTAAACAATTGAAGAGTTATTCTAAGAGTTTTAGTTGAATTATACATACCTTGAGCTAGATGCATGAATTCTCTTCAATTTTCCCAAATTTCCAAGTCTCTAGGTTGATCT